TGATGGATCAGACTCCAGCCCAGAACTGGATCCAGCCAGACACAGACGCCCGCCAAGGAGAACACGTTGAAAGTGCCTGAGGGGGACCAAGAAAAGTCGCCGCTTCCAACCTTTCTTCTCCATCATCATCATCATCAAGACTCTCTCAGTCTCTAACTACTACTCAGTACATCAACAAAGATTGACACTTTTCACCAACAATCTTTATAAATAGTACCGATGATCCATTCATTGACATCACAATTCAATTTGCATAACTTATAAAATCATCACAAACACTGTCACTATCAGCCCGCTAACGTACAGTACCATCGTGCTTGGTGGAGTCCAAATCTTACTGGATCCTAACCAGTACCCTGCTGCTGTACTGCATATTTATTGCACCGGGTCACGGACTTTCCACCCTTCTTCTGCCTAGATCCCTCCCGGCTAAGTAACTAAGGACTGAGTTATCCAACTTGGAACTTACTTATCACTCACTCACTCACTCACTCACTAAGCTCCGGGGGTTTCTGGCCACTTGGCGTTCATGTCTTGATCTGGGTTATATCCCCGATTTTCTTTCCCGCCCCCTCCTCTCTCAGTCCCCCTTCACCTATTGTCTTCCCTTTCCTTTCCTTTCTTTCTTTCTTTCTTTTTTTTTTTTTTCTTCTTCTTTTTACATCTTTTCCTCCTTGCTCCCACTCCTGGTCACCCTCGCCGATATCTGGGGGTCTCCAACCAACATGGAGCAATCCTACCTTTCTTCCCCAGCGGAAGTACTGGACCATTTTAGTGTCACCGAAAGCTTTGGTCTCTCGCAGGACCAAGTCATTAAGGCCAGGCAGAGACATGGCCCCAACGGTAGGTTGCCACCATGCCATCTTTCGGTGTACTGAGTGAAGTTGTCACTTTTCGGAGCATGCTAACGCCAATCGTGTCATCCAGCCCTTGCGGAAGAGCCACCGACACCCCTCTGGCAGCTCGTTGCAGAACAATTCAAAGACCAGTTGGTCCTTATTCTTTTGGGGTCCGCTGCCGTATCCTTCATACTGGCTCTTTTTGAGGAAGGTGACGATTGGTCTGCTTTTGTCGACCCGGTTGTGGTATGTTGCTAGAATGTTCTCTCAAAACTGCACTTGGGTGGGGACGCCACTAACACCCTGCGCTGTACACTAGATCTTGACCATTCTGATTCTCAATGCTGTGGTTGGTGTCACTCAAGAAAGCAATGCAGAGAAAGCTATTGCTGCTCTTCAAGAATATTCCGCCAATGAAGCTACAGTGGTGCGTGACGGCAAAACCCAGCGCGTCAAAGCGGAGGATCTGGTTCCCGGAGATATTGTCCACGTTGCAGTTGGTGACCGTGTCCCGGCGGACTGTAGACTGCTCGCTATCCACAGCAATAGTTTCCGTGTGGACCAGGCTATCCTTACCGGCGAAAGTGAGAGCGTTGCCAAGGATGCTCGCATCATCCAGGACAAGCAAGCGGTCAAGCAAGATCAAGTTAATATGCTCTTCTCGGGTACAACCGTTGTCAATGGACACGCAACCGCTATCGTTGTTTTGACGGGTGGATCGACGGCCATTGGTGACATTCATGAGAGTATCACCTCCCAGATCTCGGAGCCGACTCCCCTGAAGCAGAAGCTCGATGACTTCGGTGACATGCTAGCTAAGGTGATTACTGTCATTTGTGTCCTTGTCTGGATTATCAACATTGAGCACTTCAACGACCCGTCCCACGGTGGCTGGACTAAGGGAGCCATCTACTACTTGAAGATTGCAGTGTCCCTGGGTGTGGCGGCTATTCCGGAAGGGTTGGCGGTGGTGATCACCACATGTCTGGCTCTTGGTACACGCAAGATGGCTCAGAAGAATGCGGTGGTCCGTTCACTTCCCTCGGTGGAGACACTGGGTAGTTGCAGTGTGATCTGCTCCGACAAAACCGGAACCTTGACTACTAACCAGATGAGCGCCGAGAAGATTGCTTACCTCAACGAGACTGGCCATGGCGTCGAGGAAATCGACGTTGAAGGTACGACTTTCGCTCCTGAAGGCAAAATCTCGCTCCAGGGCAAGGAGTTGCAAAACGTTGCTGTCACTTCATCTACCATTCGGCAAATGACAGAGGTTATGGCTCGCTGCAACAGCGCGACGCTGGCCCATGATGCTAAGACTGGCGCATTCTCCTGTATCGGCGAGCCCACTGAAGGCGCTCTTCGCGTTCTGGTCGAAAAAATCGGCACCGAGGATTCTGCTATCAACGCTGAATTGCTACCTCTCCCAGCTACCCAAAGGCTCCATGCCGCCAGTGCTCATTACGAAACTCGCCTGTCCCTCAAGGCAACCTATGAATTCTCCCGTGACCGGAAAAGTATGTCGGTTCTTGTCGATACCGGAAAGGAACAGAAGCTCCTGGTTAAGGGTGCACCGGAGTCCATCTTGGAGCGCTGCTCCCATGTACTTCTTGGTACTAACGGAAAGCGTGTTTCCCTGACAAAGGATCACCTGAACTGCCTTTCTGAAGAACTAATTGGATATGGGAACCGTGGTCTTCGTGTAATCGCACTGGCTAGTGTTGACACTGATGGAACCAACCCTCTCTTGCACAATGCCAAATCCACGGACGATTACGCTCAATTGGAACAGAACATGACGCTTCTCGGCTTCGTTGCGATGCTGGACCCTCCACGGGTGGAGGTCGCTGCCTCGATCAGAAAGTGCAAGGAGGCTGGTATACGTGTTATTGTTATTACTGGTGACAATCGCAATACTGCGGAGTCCGTTTGCCGTCAAATTGGTGTTTTCAGTGAAGATGAAGATTTGAAGGGTAAAAGCTTTACCGGAAGAGAGTTCGATAGCCTTTCGTACAACGAAAAGCTCGATGCTGTCAAGACTGCGTCTCTGTTTTCGCGAACTGAGCCTAGCCACAAGTCCAAGCTCGTTGACCTCCTGCAATCCTTGGGCCACGTTGTCGCAATGACTGGAGATGGTGTAAATGACGCTCCCGCCCTGAAGAAATCGGACATTGGTGTCGCCATGGGCACAGGAACGGACGTTGCCAAGCTTGCCGCTGACATGGTGCTGGCTGATGACAACTTCGCGACCATCACCGTGGCTGTTGAAGAGGGTCGTTCGATCTATAGCAACACGCAGCAATTCATCCGGTACCTCATCTCATCGAACATCGGTGAAGTCGTTTCTATCTTTCTGACTGCAGCCTTGGGCATGCCGGAGGCTTTGATCCCTGTGCAGCTTCTGTGGGTTAACTTGGTCACCGATGGGTTGCCCGCCACAGCCCTCTCCTTCAACCCGCCTGATCACGATGTCATGAGACGTGCCCCCCGAAAGCGTGATGAGCCTCTGGTCGGCGGCTGGCTCCTTTTCAGGTACATGGTGATCGGTACCTACGTCGGTGCCGCTACTGTCTTCGGCTATGTCTGGTGGTTTGTGTACAATCCTGAGGGGCCTCAGATTTCATTTTGGCAGTTGGTAAGATCCGCGCCCTTGCCTCTTTCCATCGTCTACGTGCCAGGTCTTCTAATATATTGCCACAGTCTCATTTCCACAAGTGCTCGTCCCAGTTCCCCGAGGTTGGCTGTGAGATGTTCACCAACGATATGTCGCGATCTGCATCTACTGTGTCGCTCTCGATCCTCGTTGTGATTGAAATGCTCAACGCCATGAACGCCCTCTCCTCCAGCGAGTCACTCTTCACCTTCGGCCTGTCGAATAACCCGATGCTCGTCTATGCGATTATCCTCTCCATGTCGTTACACTTTGCGATTCTCTATGTTCCTTTCTTGCAGGGTCTGTTCTCTATCCTGCCCTTGGGCTGGATGGAATGGCAGGCGGTCCTAGCTATCAGTGCCCCTGTTATGTAAGTGATTTTCCATTTCCCTTGGCATGGAATATCTTCTCTGACCAGTTCTAGCTTCATCGACGAGGCTCTAAAGGTCATGGAGCGCCGCTTGTACAATAACGTCCCCGCAGTCGCGCCTGTGGAACTCAATGGCAAGCCTAAGAGGGCGTGAACGATTTGTTGATGAAGTGATGACTGAGATGTCGGTGATCGCCTTGATGATATATAGATTTCTTGTCCCTTCATATTCGATGTGTTTGTTGTTTTGTCGTTGGGCAGTTAACTGATGGCATATACCTATACCTTTGGATGGTTGGGGGCGTATAGAGAAGGATGAGGCGGATATCTACAGCGACGAGCCTAGCGAAGTAAGTTCTGTTCCCATGTAACATGTGGACACTATGCCTAGACTTTTCTCACCTGTTTCACTTGCAATCGATTGTTCTCCTGCTTCGCTGAATACGTTTTGTTTACCCACCGAGCACGTTTTAGATAGATTAGTGTATCAAATGTATTATTGTCTACTGTGTAGTGTATCAAGTCCTAAGGCAAACAAACAAACATATAACCACATACATGTGTAAACAAAGCATACGCATACTTCTAGATATGCGATCCCGTGATATGGATGGTCTTCCTTTCCAAGTCGGCTCCATTTCCCCCTCCTTTCACCCTAGTTTCTGACTAGTCTCAACTCACCTCTATAAATACACCACGATGACAGGTGACTGAACCGGATTGAATTGAGACCGCCCGGTTCATCATGAATTTCAGCCTAAATTTCAATTGCGGGGAAACTGGGGCATCGACGGCGAGAATGCCTGCTGCAATCTTGTCCCCTCAAACCTGACCAACGGGGACACCCCCCCGGATGATTTGGCCTTCCCTAACCTCCCTATTTTCCTATTTCCACATTCCTGATTCTGCGGAGAGAGTCGGGGGGGGGGATGGTGAGAAGAGACCTGGGCTCAGAGAGATGCAATTGAAGACTATTGCCTGTGAAGAAGCCACATACATACCCCTCCTTCCGCCCCCTCGCTCTCTAGTGGCTTTATCTTACAATCCCAATCACTTACCTATTCTCAAGAGACCTTCTTTCTTCTCTTGTCGTCTTCCCCCTTTCTCAGAAAGACTGCTTTCTCCCTATCGCGCCGGAATGGGGATCGTGCGTTTCCTGAAGACTCGGACTGGGTTCCGGGTCGATAATAGCAGAACCACCTCTGCCGCCACCCTTACGTTGCGCCAGAGTATCTGGCCCTTAACTCTAGTCACCATACTCTTCTTTCTATGGGTGAGCGCCCTAGAGCAAGAGATAAACATATGTGGTGGTGGTCGCTGACATACTTGCGCTGCAGGGATTCGCCTATGGTCTACTAGACACACTTAACAAGCATTTCCAGAATACCATGCATATCACTCGTACACGTTCTTCTGGACTCCAGGCAGCCTACTTTGGGTCAGCAAGCTCTTTCAATAACATGCATCTGTTAAGGAGAGGGCCTTCTGATTGACGGCTCTAAGTGCTTATCCACTGGCGTCCCTTAGCTATGCGAACTACATGCTCCGTCATTTCGGCTACAAGACTGTTTTCGTTTTCGGCCTGACTCTATATGGTATCGGCGCTCTCTGCATGTGGCCTGCAGGCTTGCATCGCTCATTCGGAGGCTTCTGTGCAGCCACTTTTGTTATTGGCTCTGGCCTGGGGTCTCTGGAGACGGCTGCCAATCCATACATAACTGGTGAGTGGAGCATATGTGAACCCCTTGAGCTCCATCCTTCCATGGGTTGAGCGAGAAATGAGGAACAATGACTAGAATGAGCTTTTAGTCTGTGGTCCACCCAGATACGCTGAAATCCGAATCAATCTTGCCCAGGCTTTCAACGGCATCGGAGCCTGCGTGGCGCCAGTGCTAGCTTCATATGTCTTCTTCACCTCCGTGGGCGATGATGTCAATGCCCTCAAGCGCGTTCAGTGGGTTTATCTCGCAATTGGCATCTTTGTCTTCATCCTCGCGGGTATTTTCTTCATCTCTTCGATCCCCGAAGTGACAGATGAGGACATGGCCTTTCAGGTTGCCGAGACACACGCGGACGAGCAGGAAAAGCCACTCCGGAAGCAATATAAGCTCTTCCATGCTACGCTGGCACAATTCACTTATACAGGCGCACAAGGTATGACTCCAGACCTGCATACATATGCTTGCCTTATCTCTCACACCTAACCTTTCCTTTGGCGTCCATCAGTTGCTATCGCAAGCTATTTCATCAATTACGTTACCGAGACCTGGCCCGGAACTTCTAGCGCCACAGCTTCCAAGTATCTTGCCGGTGCCCAGGGTGTCTTTGCTGTCGGTCGCTTCGTCGGTGCCATTATCATGAGATTTGCAAAAGCCCGTTGGGTGTTCTTAGTTTATCTCTCCTGCACTGTTGCATTCATCGCTGCATCAATAACGCAACATAACCGGACAGGAGTCGGTACGTCCCACCTTCACCCTCGTGTTCTATTCATTTTTCCAAAAGCACGCACACTTCGTGAATAGGTCCTTGTCTCTCGGTCCTCGTCCAGCCTCTCCTATTCTCCCTCTCTCTTCCTCCTCATTCTCTCTCTCTCTTGCCCCGGCTCTGTCGCGCAGGATGCCCAGCGGACTAACAACAATCAACTATATAATTTCACTAGCAATGCTCTTCTGTACCCTCTTCTTCGAATCTGTCTGTTTCCCAACGATTGTCGCGCTTGGTATATGCGGCCTGGGTAGGAACTATAAGCGGGCCTCCGGGCTCATTGTTGGCGCTGTCTGTGGCGGAGCAGTCGTACCCCCAATTCTCGGTCGAGTGGCGGACGCACGGAACACGGGCTTCGCTATGATTGTGCCGACCTTGTTTTTCGTCATTGCATTGTCGTATGCCTGGGCAGTGAATCTCGTGCCTGCGTACCGCGAAACGGTGGACAAGGTTTACATCAGTGGTGTTGGGCTTGGGGAGGAGAATGTTATGACTAAAGATGTCGAGGATGGGACCACAGCCAAGATTGGATAGTGACAAGGATTGGAGCATTTTTATCCAACAGTGAACCAATTCGCTCATGCTATCGTGAATCAGGCACGACCTTTGTATGGTTGTCCTATTTTTTCCCCCACCAATCTTCAATGCATGGAGGGCCGTGTTATATACTTATTGCCTGGTACTGGAGCCAGCCCCACGCGGCTCCGTCATCATCCCGTGAAAAAGGGCAGTGGAAACTCATAGGCTGAACATCGCTCATAGATGCCAAGCACACTCAGGGACACATGGACAGATCTTTGACGAAATAGGTATGTAGATGAGTAGGTGGATATGTGGAGCAAGATATGATATTATAATACAAAAGAAACCGGCGCGAAGTGCGTGGTAAATATGACGTGGTGCGTGTCAAGAGAATGCAGATGCAATCCTTGCAAGGTAATGAATAAGAAGAAGTCTGGAAAGAAGGATAGGAAAAGGGGGGTTTCTAGCGTACAAGAATGACCTTCCCAGGCTTGTTTATCATCGCGTTGCCATTTTGCGCAACAGTCAAAGATTGAGATTTGTCCAAGAAAAAAGAAAAAAGGAAAAGGAAAAGGAAAAGGAAAAGAAAATCAAAAACTAGCCCGCACAGACGCGAAAGGGGGTATAAATATGAATGAAATGTGCAAAAAGAACAAATAGAATCGAAACATGCCAAGGTGAAATCTAGTATGTCCGGCTGCTACTGCCTGAAGGCTTTGACAGCAGTCTCATGGAAGTTTTGCATCAGACAGAGTAACGTCTACTCGGGGACCGTCGAGAACGACGGCGTTGTCAATGAGGACGAGCGGGGTGGGCGAGGACTAGCATCAAAGTCCGGGGCAGGGGCTAGAGCGGGTTTGCGAGACGGCTCAGGAAGCAATCCATCCGTATGCTCAAGTTCAAGGTAATCGTCCGGTTTTACCGGATCGACTGGTGATCCTGGATCATCCTCTAGGCCGCTGAAGGTATCCACCTCCTCGATGTCTTCTTCTAGATCTTCCTCTTCAATAATTTGACTCTTCCTTGCTGCAGGCCGAACAGCATTTGCGGCAACAGAACCCTCAGCACCATAATCAACTTGGGGATATTGCGAAGCAGCCACACCGCCAGATACCATCAGGTTTGCAGTGTTAATCATAGGGCCCTTGAATGCGGATCGTTTGCGACGGGCAAATACAAGGCTTGAAGAAGGTGAATAGAGTAGCGAGGTCGGGGCTGCCTCGTTAAACACTGATTGGAGTCTTCCATTGTGATCGTCCATGTCACGCATTCCAGTATGCGTACCTCGGACCAAGCGAATATTGCTTGGAAAACGAGCAGAGGCGCTCGGCGTCGTGGGCAAGACTTTCACAGAAGAATGTGGTGATTTGGTGATTCGAGCGGTCGGTGTCGAAGCCGAGCCAATGCTATTCGAGGATACGGATGAGGCCTTAGAGTGGGTATGGGTATGATGAATGCTGCGGATAGACGAGACAGACGAAGAGGTCGACTTGCGTCCACGCAAGCCAGCAGACGACCGCCGATAAGAGCCCCTCGGAGTTATTGGGGAGGGCGACAGGGAATTTCGATGGGTTTGACCTGTGCTGAGTGGTCGAGGTTGCCGGGGAAAAGAGTGACGGTGGTTTGGATAGGAGGCACTGCTTGGAGCCAAGCTACTAGCATTCGACGAGCGTTTCATCTGGGTCGGCGTCGATAAGTCACCTTGGTTTCCAATGACGGCAGATGGGGATGTTGGCTTCTTTCCAGCCTCTTGTCCCTTTCCTGGGCTTAGTCTTTCCGGAAGAAATTTGCGATGCCCACCTTGGGCGCTCGTAACCTTTGCGTGCGGTGACTTGGCCCTCTTCGCAGACTCCACAAACCAATGTTTGAGTGAGGCCAGCTGACTTATGATCGGATACTGACGGCGACCAGTACGCCTTCTGAAAAGACCATTGTGTTGCGCTAGTTCCGGTTGCGAAGCGCTGGCGTGCAAGGTACTCGGCCGCCGTGCTTGATCTTTGGGAGGCGGTACTGGACGAGGTCGAGTGGAGCTAGCGGAGCGGACAGAGTCTTTGTCAATAGGCGGAGGAGGCGCGCTAGAATCTGGAGACTGCACGGGAGCTGGCTCAGGAAGCATGGGTAGTTCTGGTACCGTGAGCTGGGATGGTAAGCTCCGCCTGTTCCTACGTCCACGTTCTTGGAGAGGGCCATCAGATGATGCGTGCCCCTCCTCATCCACTTCAACTAAAGCTGCGGAAATCTTTTCCAAACGACTGCTCGCTGCGCTGAGCCGGCGAATGTTTTTAGCCTCAGCCTCACGTTCTCGGCGTTTACGCTCCCTCTTTCGTTCTTTGCGTTGCTCTTTCTCTATCAGCAATGCCCACCAGCCAGCGAGTGGGTCACATCGTTGAGAGAGAACGCTTTCCACAACATCATCGATGTTCAAACCCGCACTTTTCATGCGCTGCAATGTTGTCTTCTCGAGCGGGGTCGAAAATGGCGCCGGACGTGGGATCTTCAGAATCGCCAGCTGTTCCGAAGCAAACTCGGCGAGAAATGGATGGCCGAGAATCTCACCCAAGCCTGGCCGGATCAAAGGTCGCTTTGACAAGAGCAGATTGATGAGAGTTTTGGCATCCTCAGGAAATTTTTCATTGAACGCCGGCTCATCGTTGAGGATGCGAGCTTTGGTGACTTGATCGTCATCATCGTCAAACGGAAGTTCGCCTGCAAGTAGGGCGTACAGAATGATTCCTAAGCTCCAAACATCCACTTTCTCGCCGGCATATTTCTCCCCCTTCAGCATTTCGGGGGCACTATAGCATATCGTGCCACAAAATGTCTGCAGGTAGCTTGCCTTTCCCTCATATTCTCTTGTGAATCCGAAGTCACAAAGCTTGACATTTTCGTGCTTATCAAGCAAGATATTTTCGAGTTTGAGATCGCGGTGTACACAGGACTTGCTGTGAACATACGCCACAGCCCCAACTAATTGTGTGAAGATCTTTTTAACTTTCTCAACGGGGAGTGGGCCATGTTGAAGGAGATGATTGTACAGCTCATCACCTACCAGTGTCAAAAATAATAAATTGCAAACAATCCAGGTTAACCTACCTGGACAATATTCCAGCACTAGCCAGACCAGATTCTCCGTCACAATGACTTCGTAGAGGCGAGCGATATGGGGGTGGAGGAACTGACGATGGTGATGGATCTCGCGCGCCAGGTTCCTGTCCTCCTTACTCGAAGACTTGAGTACGACCTAAATATAGCATGCCTTAACACATGCTTCGAATTGCCTGCATAGTCGAGGAGGCCTACCTTAGAGCCATTGGTCAACTTATGAGAGGCAAGGTAGACCTTGCCAAAGGAGCCTTTTCCTATTAACCGCCCAAGTGTGTAATTGCCTACAGTGCGGAGGTCTTTTGAGGAGAATTCCCTATGATCATCAAATCTGGTCAGCAAAGTTTCCAAGGTTCTGGCAAGGTAGAGACTCACTCTAATAATTCATTGTATGACTGGGCAAGCTACCAAATCGCATGGAGTTTCAATTAGTACCAGGCACAGATCACTTCTGAAAAAAAAAAAAGGGGGGGGGGGGGGCTGACCTAAGACTAAAACGCCCCTCGTC